CTAGTGATCATGAACATTTCTTCATATGTTTGTTGGCTACCCGGATCTCTTCTGCAAAGTGTATCTTAATCATTTTAGACACATAGACAAACAAGCACAAATGAGGAGATTGCCAAGGAACCATGGAGCACTGAGGTTGCAGATGCTGAGACAAGAACCATCCCCCAGAGCTGACAGGGAGAGAGTGTCTCCATCTAGGACTGGTGCTCTGAATTCCAGCCTCCTAAATTGGAAGAAAATATGTTCCTGGTCATTAAAGCCACTCACTTTTAGTGTTTTTTTTTTTTTAAGCGGAAGCACTAAGGAACTAAGACACATGCTTAACAAATACCTGTTGAATAAATGAGTTAATGTAGAAATAGATCATCGTCATCATAAAATTAAAGAGGTTTGGAAGAGATTTGACCAATTATACTAAAGTGTTCTTCAACCTTTGTATATCTGTTGTACTCTTAGGATGTAGCTTGTGTATTAGTCAGAACAGGCTGAAATATACTTCAGTAACAAATAAATCCAGAAATCCCAGTAGTAGTACACAAATTCAAATGCAGAACAGGAATCTTTCTTCCTTGTAACTCTATGACTAGAATCCCTGGTGATGCAATGGTTAGGTGTTGGGATTCTCATCTAAAGACTGGTAGTTCAAATCCACCCATGACTCCACAGAAGGAAAGTTCTGGCAATTTGTAATCATAGATTACAGCCTAGGAAACCCTATGAGGCAGTTGTACTTTGTCCTGTAGGGTTGTTATGAATTAGAATCAACTGAACAGCAAGTAACAATCTCATGACTAAAGAGTCCTAAGTGTTAACTGTTATAGCTCGAATGTTAAAAGGTCAGCTGTTCAAACCTACCCAGTGATTCCATGGGAGAACAGACCTGGTAATCTGCTCTTCAAAAGATAGCAGCCTAGAAAATCCTATGGGACAGTTCTGCTCTGTTATATGGGCTCAACATGAATCATAATTCCACACAAAGGTGCCCTACAACAATTCTATAACTCTATTGTTTTAATATACGAACCTCTTGGTTGCTGTTAAAGAGGAAGCAAACAGAAAGACTGTATAGACCTTGGAGACAGATCACTGCCACCAACATTCTCCTGGTTAGAATTCAACCACATGTTCCAGACTATCTGCAAGGGAGGTTGGGAAATGTCTACCTATGTGTTCACTTGCCCCAGAAGAGTAAGTGGTCGTGTTATCACATTGCATTGCACCTGTCCCACCTGATGATCATCCACCTACGATCCTTGTATAGAAAAGTTATGGGAGGTTCTTCTTGTTGTTAGGTACCATTGAGTCGGTACCGACTCATAGTGACCCTGTGCACAACAGTTGGTTCTAGGCCAAACTCACAATCATTGCAACACCAGAGCCCATTGCTGTTGCCACTGTGCTAATCCATCCAGTTTGGGGTCTTCCTCTTTTTCTCCAACCCTCCACTCTATGAACCATTATATCCTTCTCCAGGGACAGGTCTATCTTGATAATATGTCTGAAATATGAGACAAAGTCTGGTCATCCGGACTTCCAAGGAGCACCTGGCTGTACTTCTTCCAACACAGATACATTGGTTCTTTTGGCAGCCAACAGAACTTTCAGCTGTCTCCTCCAACACTCTAATTAGAATGCATCAATTCTTCCACAGTCTTCCTTATTCACTGTCCTACTTTCACATGCATATGAAGTTATTGAAAATACCATGGCTTGGGTCAGACACACCTTAGTCATCAAACTGACATCTTTGCTCTTGAACACTTTAAAGAGGTCTTGTGCTGCTATGCC